AGAACATTTTCCAATTTTGTCATTTTAAATTATAATGGCTTCATAAATTTAACACTAATTGGTGAGACTGGGGGGTAAAATTTTTTAAATATACAAATTCGATTTCATATATCATGGTCTAGGAAGAATTTGGCAAGTGATATAACAGATCTCATCGCCTGTAAGTTTGTTCGTTTCTTCCTTTGCTACATTTATCAGATAGGAACAGCCAGGAAGAGATTTTGTTCTGAAATAACCCGTTTTGGAACTAGAAAACCCATGAAGATTGTTTTTATACACAAAAAGTTTACAACAACTAACTTGTGTAAATAAAAATTAGATCGTGTTTTTCAATAACAAATTTTATAATAACAACCATGAAGAACATGTTAACAAACAATATGTAAATGTATCTTGTATAATCCAATTCTAACAATGGAACAACATAGTTTTTATAAAAATTCAGGCAGTGAAATGTATTTTTTTTATTTTTCCTTACCCACGCTCACTCTTATTACTCTCCCGAAAACTTTCGACTTTTGAAAGTTTGGCGTCAAATTGGCTTCTACCTGTTTTACTTAGGGTTTACACCGGAGAATACGGTCATGACAATAGCAATACATGCACACTTTTCACTAATACAAGCGTACTTTTCCATAGGAAAAATATTGACAACAAATATGTATATCTTCATTGTCATGACAGTATTGTCCGGTGTAAACCCTAGGTTAATGTACATACCTTGGCATAGGGTCGATTCCTAGTGTTGCCAAATTCCTCCAAACATCTTTAAAGATATAACAAATTGTAGCCACGCATACTATATAATTTTTCGAAAGCGCCACAAGAATATTTTGTTAATTGACTGCTGAAGGATTTTATTTTATTTTTTTAATTCTCCTTTAGCGAACTCGCGCCGAACTAGCTTTTAAAGGGACGGTACCGGTTCTTCATCTATTCCAATTCAACTTTATTTTTTAATATGACGATGTCCTACGAAGGGCAATTTGCCCCCTCTGCAGAACTTTGGAACTCATTCAGAACTCGTCCGTTTTGGACAGAATCGGGTCCATATGTTTTTTACGAGAAAGTATTTTTAAGGTTCTGTTTGCACTTGCATTTTTTGTTTTTATTTATTTTATTTTTATTTAAATTCATAATCTTCAAACTTTTAAGCTATTTTGTATTGTACGAGAAGTGAGAGTTGCACATTTAGTTTTCAGCTTTCACATGCTAAATAAACCGTTTACCAAGAATGGTGATCGGTACTTCGTGACCGATTACAACTTTAATGACGTTTACCAGTACTATTTAGAGTTGTCAGTTGGAAAGCGCCCGCTAAGAAGAAGAAGCGCCGTATAATCCAACTGGAAATGTCGTGCTGCCAGTATAGAAAAATTGTTGAACTTCTTATACCCCGGCAGAAATCGAATCACAACATAACAGAAAATCGTTTGAAACTATAAAATAACATTCATATCCATAAAAAAAAAAATATATATATATAAGGCCATATTTTTTTAAGCAAATTAGCAAGGCGCATTCTTACAAAGTGATATTGGCAGCATAAAGACAAAAAACTGCACTATAAAATTATACACACGACGATAATCAGAACACCAAAAATAGGTGCGTTCCAGCGATTTTCGGACCAAAACCTGCAGAACTGTCAAAAAGCAAAACATCTCTCACAAGAGAGAGAGCAACGGTCGAGGAACTGAGAAAAACTGCTGGAACGCAAAAAAACATTTTTCCTGCAGGTATATAAATGTCAGATGTTTGTTTACAGAATTATTTATTCAGGCAAAAATTCTTACGCACAACATTTTAATTCCCAAAGATTTCGTTACTTTGGTACAATTGGCTTCTATTCTGCTGAAAATATTTCTTATAAATTCCATCAGCTCTTTCGCTTGTTGTTTACGAACGCAACACTGCTTTTAATTTGACAGTTTTCATGTATTTGAGGAAGAAAAACTTCGGACTAAATCCTGCAACTTCATACTGGGAGTAAGCATACTTCACGAGCTCGAAATTGCTCTCAGTTATAGGAAATTTGCCTGCTGGAACGCTTTATACTGCTACTGGAACGCAATGTGTTAAAACGCGTCATTTCGAGGATCAACACAATTCGCATTGAAATCCGCTACTCCGGTAACATCACCATGTATGAATGCGTCTTGCAAATTAGGTTTTAAACAGTGCATACAAGTGTTTCAAGACATTTAATATATATATTTTACTAATCTGGCAGCGCTGTTATCGACATCAAAAGTAATAGCAGCGGTAATGATCGAAAGAAAATAAAGACGAATTTTGCAATTGGATTTTGGACAATATAGTTGTACTCATATATATTTCAAGTATATTAATAATTGGTTTGAAGGGAATAAACCTGTCTTTATGATAGTGTTAGCTGGAATATAAAATTAAACACCACGTTTTTT